GTGCAAATATGTAGCCTCTTGACATTACACAAACCACATTTCTGATCAATATTCATTAGTAACATAACCGAAACACCAACTTTTAATACCAACTTATGAAGTGGCAAACCTGACGGTTTAAGAACATTTAGAACATCAGATGAGTATAAACTTCCATTAAATTCATCGTGAACAAAATCTGAATGAAAAAGATTATATGAACTTAAGTATTGTTTTTCCACTCCTGGAAATAATGATAATATTCGGTGCAATGATTGCTCATTCTTGAAAAAAAAAATATCGGATTATGTGTATTTTGGATAATAAAAGGATAGACAGATTCAATTAATGAAACAATAGTATAAAATGAATCAATAATGAGAAGATAATCCGACATATCAATAATTAGTTCACCATCATTTGAACCCCAAATTTCCTTCTCCTATGTCATGTTGATGATTCTAGTGTTATCAACATATTTTGGTGTAATTATTATTAATAATGAGATATGGCGAGCTCCATTTACTAACCGAGTTTGTAAGTGTGGGGTGCACACCCGGTGTGATAAATGTGAACTAGGTATACGGGGGTCTGAGGGCAACGCCCCTGGGTGCAGGGTTCTAAGGGGTTGCAGCCCCTTGGCGGGGCCTAAGGGTAGTGCCCCTAGCGGGGTCTAAGAGGCAGAGCCCATAGCAAGGCTCGAGGCAGCGCCCCAAAAACCTTAACGAATTTTTATATCAAGTGAGACTCCAGCCATGCATTTTCCCACCAAAAACCCACTGATGACATCATGATGATGTAGGCATCGTTGAGTCCAATAACTACCATGTTTTAGCACCAGTTTTGTTTTAACCGATTTTAACCACTTTTCTCTCAAGTATTAATCAGATGTGGATGTTCTAGAAAAAGGGTTAAACATTCATATACTCGAAATTACATCATAATTTCTCTATCTCTCAAGAACACATCAAACAAAGTATTATGTGTTTTCAATTCGAATTGGTTTATTATTGGATTATCCCACTTCTGAATTTGTATACCCCAGACAAAAGGGACGAATTACAGACTTTGGAAAGTGTTTGATAAACACGATCCTTAAATTTATCAAATTTTGTGTTTATTGTTATTATGTTCCCTTATTTTCTAACATATCCGAAAATCAATTTCCAAATGTCGTTATTTATTCAATATCAAATGTTTCTTCAACCAAATAACTAATATAAGGTTAGCGGTTCGAGAAAATGGTGTTAAAAATAATCTCGTTAGAAACAAAAATCAGATTGTTAAGGTGATACAAGTTTTCATTGCAAAGCAATTTTTCCATTTTGAACAGTTAGTTTCGTTTGGAAATCCAAATTCCCTAGGCAAAACCTTTTTCTTTTGGAACCGGAAAATATGTATTAAAAAGAAAACACCTCAAATCAAGGCGATGCAAGGGAGAGAGTACAATACAAAAGGAAAAACAAGAAAAATACAAACAAAGAAAAGGACCAAGATTCCAAACTCTCCAATCCATGTTCTTGAATGAACATCTATGTTTACACCAAATGAAAGTTATTGATTTTATCCTCTCCACAGTATTCGCCGATACGAATGGAATGTTTTTGAACACCTTTTGGTTTATGTCATTCCATATACACCACAATCCTCCATATAAGATCACATTCAACATGCTTCTTTTCTTTTTGCACTTCGACCACCTAGATATGAAAAGTAACATATCTTTCACCGAATCAAATCCATCATATGAGATTTCACACCAAGATAAAATCAAATCCATGACAACTTTCGCTAATGGGCATAAGAGAAGGATGTGATCGCTCGTCGCCTCCTCCAAGTTACATGAACCGTACATAGTCGATGGAACTATGACACCCCTTAATTTTAACGAAACTGATGATGGGATTCTACCAAGCCTCGATCTCCAAATAAAGCATAAGATCTTAGACGGTATCACTTTGCTCCATTCAAACGGTCCATCACAAACAATGTGATTCTCCATTTCGATCCGTTCACGTAACAATCTCACTGGGAAGCGATTATCAATTACGAAGTCAGAAACCCAACGACCTTCGGTTCGTTTCCAATACACAATTTTGTTGGGATCGATATTGAGGTTCTTTAACACCGGCCTGATTTTGACTATATTTTTCCAAACGCCCGTTCTAGATTTGTTAGCAAAAATAGACCAATGTCTTCCATCTAAGATGGGAATGCATTGGATGACTTTTGCTCATAGTGTAGAGTTTTCATTTTTCAATCGCCACATCCACTCAGCTAATACATAAATGTTTAGACTTTTTATAGATCCAAGTCCGGTGCCGCCTGCCCTTTTTGGGGCGATAATTGTATCCCATGCAACCCAATTGATACTTTTCTTTTCCCATTTACTACTCCATATAAATCTCCTTCTAATTTTGTCAAGAGTCTCAATGACACCCTTTGGAACAGCAAATATGGACATAAAAAAGGTAGGAAGATTACCAAGAACCGCCTTTGCTAAGGTTAACCTACCTCCAAAGGTAAGCGTTTTTGCTTTCCACAATGAGATTTTAGAATGAAACTTCTCGATAATCAGCCTCCAAGCATTCTTCAAGTTCATGTTTTCTCCCACGGGAATGCCCATGTAGGTGAATGGGAGAAATTATGGTTCGCAGCCAAGAGGAGCAGACCAATTCAATATTTCACTAGGTGATGCTCCAACACCAAACACTTTAGACTTGCTAAAGTTAACTTTCAACCTGGATGAAACATAAAAACATCTCAAGATTCTCGCTAAGTTAGCAATGTTGTGTCTCAACCATTCTCCAATGAATAAAGTGTCATCTGCATAAAATAGTTGCGACAAACAAATGTTAGAGTTTGGGAAATTTATTCCGTCAAAAACTCCTTTGTTAACCGTTGTCGTCATCGCCAAATTCAATCCCTCCATCGCTATGATGAATAAGAAAGGAGAAAGTGGGTCACCTTGCCTCACTCCTTTCTCCATAGAGAATTCATTTGTTGGGCTTCCATTAATAATCACCGATGCTCGACCCGATTCCAAACAATTACAGATCCAATATCTCTATTTATTTCCAAAGCCCATTTGTTCCATAATTGAATCCAGAAAAACCCAATTCACAGAATCGAAAGCTTTGTTAAAGTCCGCCTTAAAAAGCAACATCTTTCTTCTTTTTGATTTTTCCCTAGAGCAAAGCTCATTAACCACAATAGGTCCCTCAAGGATATTCCTTCCATCAACATACGCAGATTGAACCTCATCAATAACACTGCCAATGACCTTCTTTAGTCGAAGTACCAGCTGTTTTGCGATGATCTTGTATATGGATCCAATCAGGCTTATAGGTCTAAAATTACCAAAATGAATTGGATCTTTAGACTTGGCGGCTAAGGATATAAACGAGGAATTACAACCTCTATTGATTTTACCTCCCATTTCGAAGTATTTAACCAACCCCACGATATCATATTTTAGCAAGCGCCAGTATTTTTTGAGGAATTTAAAAATGAAACCATCCGGCCCGGGAGACTTATCTCCACCACACGACCATACAACAATTTTTACTTCTTCCACGGAGAATTCTCCTTCTAAGAACCGAGTATCTGTTTCAGAAAGATTGCGAAAACTAGAGCTCCGAAACAAAGGTCTGTGCTGCCAATGTTCTCTGTATTTCTTTTCGAAGAATTTGGCAGCCTCCTGCTTAATCTCTATGTTTTCATCTCCCTTTACCTCCCATTTTATTTTTGCTCTTTGCTTCATATATAATGAAATTGTTCTATCATGTTCAACAATTTTAACTCCTCCAATTGACCTTTCTTCAATTTCTGCTAAAGTTAAAAGTCGAGATTCCACCACCCTTTCGATCTTAACAATTCTTTTTATCAGGGAATCCAAATCTTTGTTTTCATCCTTCATTGCAGAAGTTCTCCAACATCTAATAGCATTTTTTAAGTGTTTAAGTTTATTCAGGAGGTAAGCATCAGGAATTCCGAACTCCACGAACTCAGAACATGCTTTCTTAATAACCTCATCAAATCCATCTTTAAGCATCCATGAGTTATACAGTTTGAACGGTGGGGGGCCAAAATCGTCACAACGAGCCCTCAGAATAATGGGAGAGTGATCAGAAAAGTCTCTATCCAATGCCAAGCAGAAAGCAAAGGGAAACGAGGTTATGAAACGATTACACACCAAAAATCTATCTAATTTACTCAATTTCGCTCCTTGCGTTTTAAAGAATGTGAATCTTTGACCTCCTATCTTTAAGTCGGTGAGTTCTCCCTTGCGTATAAATTGATTAAAAGCACTTGCACTGATTGGGCAAAAAATGGAGTTTATCCGTTCCTCCGGTCTTCGAACGAAATTAAAATCTCCCATGAAAATCCAAGTAGCGGGTATAGAGGATTTCAAAGCTAACAACTCATCCCATAATTTTGATTTCTCGTTTATTGATTGAGGGACATAAATATTTACAATGCCCGTGAGACCATTAATGCCAACAAAATTACCCAATGTTATAATGAAGTACCTAGCTTTGATAGTCTCAACAACCAAAAATGATTTCTTATCCCATATAGACACTAGACCTTCAGATCTTCCCGTGGTGAAGACCTGCTCGAACATATAGTCTGTGTCACCCCAACAATCAGTGATATTGAGAGGCGGAGATGATTCACCCAGTTTGGACTCTTGAATGCAAATAAAGCATAGTTTATGTTTTCTTCGAAGCCTTCGAATCCAGTCAACCTTATGTTTCTCTCCAAGACCTCTAATGTTTAGAGTCATGATATTCATTGTATAATTTGGTTCTCACCATCCTCACCAAGAACTTCCTTAAGAATCGAGTTGTCATCCTCGACCTCGAAGCCCAATATGTTGCCCACCACCATAGTATTTCTAATTTTCGACGAAGAGGATGGAGAATCAACCTCTACGTCAGGAAGAGGAACTTGAGTAGGAATTGGAAGTCTATTAAGATCGAGGGTAGGATGAGGCGAAGTAGAGTCTGATAAATCAATAGGGATGTCTGAGCCATTTCTCATTAATCTTCTTCTTTTATCTTGAGCACTATTAAAATTAATATATGGCCCACATAATGGTATGTCGTTAGAATCCATTGTGTTTGGAAAAGGACCAAAGCAGCCATACTTAGCTCGGTTATCGAGTAGCTCATTAGTCGATCCACCTTGTCCAGTGCTTTTGCTCATTGCATCAGTCGTGTTTGTTTCATTTTCTAGTCAGCGTGAATCACCACGCTTGTTTCATTTTCAACTTCCAATTGCACATTAATTCCCCTAATCGACTCTTGAAGTTCCCCGAGTTTGTCTTTTCCGATTCTCTGATCATCCTCGTCAGTTGAAACGTCTGCCGGAAACGCAGCCACCACCGGGGATCTGTCCTTGTTGGCGATGTTAGTCGTGTTTTCCCAATTTGATTCCATGACAATATCGACGTCCATAGTTCCAATATCTCCCTCTTCCAATTCGTTGTTATTCCCAGCGATAATGGTTTCAGATATACTGTCCTCATCATCATCTCCTTCATCGTCATTCCCATCATCATCTGATGATGAATTATCGTCCACTTGATATATGTGTGACTTGAATGGAACCCAGTGGATATCAACTTCTGAAATTCCGATTCGAATGATTTTACCATTAACATCCGCCAAATGCTCACAGTAGATGTTCGTTAGTGATGAAGTTAGGGTACCAACTTTTCTAAAGGAGAGATTTGCCTCTGTTTGGTCCACAACAAATGGAACTACCACCTAGACGGAATCACAAGGGTGGCATTTAGTAAGTCTAATTTGAATAAAAGGGAAAAAAATAAAAATAATAAATGGATATTAAATAATTATAAAAAAATCAGAAAATGACAAGTGGTCAATTGAATGAGAAAAAAACATGTGTCAATATATATATATATATATATATATATATATATATATGTATATATATATATGTGTGTGTGTGTGTGTGTGTGTGTGTGCGCTAGGTATGAGACTCATGTATTACATGTAGAGGTGTTCGTTTGGATGGATCGGTTTGATCTGATCCAATCAGGTGAATCCAAATTGATTTTGGTTTTCAAAACGTGAATCCGAATTGTCCAAACTAAATTCGAATCCGATCCGAACCAATCAAATTACAATTCGGTTGGATCGGTTTTTGCAATTCGGTTTTCAAGAGACACGACATTTAAAAATATATATAACATGGATATTAGTGAACTTTAAACAAAAATAATGTTTGGTTGAGAATTAAAATTTATGAACAACTACTAAAAATGTATTATAATCTAATATTTTGTAGATAAAAAACTTTTGAAAAGTATACATTGACATATTTTATTGGATAATACTTTGTAATTTATTTAAAAATATAATTTAGCAAGTTAACAAATAACTAAAATATGTATATTTGAAACAAATATATGTACATAAATAAATAATAAACTATTATTCGGTTTTTTTGGACTACTCAGTTTTCATTTTATAAACCGTAACCAATCCGATATCCAAAATAATAATTCGGTTTTGCTAAAAACCGATCCGAAAATCCGAATATCTGAACCAAATAGTCCAATCCAAACTGTCCGATTGGACAATTCGGTTTTATCCGAATAATGAATAGCCCTAATTACATGAGTTTATTTAAAAGAAACACTAAATATAAAATTCTAAACATTTGAGAAGTTTGAATTTATAAGAAAAGTGAGAAAATATTGAATTATAAAAATCAAAGTGTTTTTTTTTCTCTTTTAAATTTAAACAAATAATTTAGATAAACAAATAAAGACAATTAATGAATCTTTAATTTAGTAATTTTGAAATTAGAAGGAAATTTCATTAATGAAATGGATATGTATTTATTATTGCATTTAAATACTATATGGAATTTAATAAAATGACATGTGGAATAAAAATTAATTTAAAATAACCATAAAATTACATGTGGCAAAATAAATGAGAATGTGACATGTGGCAAAAAG